GCCTCCTCCTGTTTCTCGGCGCTGCTGAGTGTACCGGCTGGGATGAATGTTAGATCGCTGCTAACAAAGATCCGGAGAGTGATTTCAACAAAAGTGATCAGCTTTATTGTAGGTGCGAACAAGCGCTTGAAAGAAGTCATAGCCAGAACAGATTAACATTGGGAGCTAGGCTCCTTTTAAACATTCCCGGGCTAACGTAGCCACGCCTATTTACAATAATGTCGGCCGGAGCTACCAATGACCTGGCGATGTCAAAAACGTTCTTCCCGCAGGAACGCAGCAGGCTGGCTCGCTTCTTCGCCTCCGCCTCGATGTCGTTGGCCTTCAAGTGGAACTCAAACCGTGCAAGGTACGCGTCCCAATCTTCCGTCGCTGGTTCGAATGCCTCGAACTTCTGGCTATTGGCCATCCTGGCAGGCTCGTTCACCGGTACTGGTGGTGCCTCCGTTGGAGTGGCCACAGCGCTGTGCTCGTCCTCGTCCTTCGTGGGGATTGTTAAGCAGGGCTGCCTACCCGCTCTAACATCCCATCCTCATCGCCAATTGTTAGATCGCTGCTAACAAAGATTCGGAGAGTGATTTCAACAAAAGTGAACAAGCGCTTGAAAGAAGTCATAAGAACAGATTAACATTGGGAGCTAGGCTCCTTTGAAACATTCCCGGGCTAACGTAGCCACGCCTATTTACAATAATCAACCAATGAGGTTGTGTGGATAACGTCCAATGAGAGTTCTTCCCTCGCAGGGAATTAGTGGAGTTCCGATTGGTCGCTGATGTGGAGCGACCAATAGTAAGTTAGTTCAGAGGAGCCTTCGTCTGGCTCGAAGCTTAACATGGAGAGTCATGCGTCGATTCACATAAGCCTTTTTGAATACACCACAATGAAGGAGGCGGGTGGGAATGCTGGCGGAGACCAGAGCCAGAGCGGGCTTGCCCAGAATGCTGGTGGGCTGCATGCAGGCAGCAGTTCTCATTCAAGTCAGACTTGTTCACTGGAAAACAAAGTTTGGGGGAGAGGAGGAAATGTTTTACATTTCAGCAGTTTTTTTTAGGATTATTTGCAAAATTCATGAGTGGTTGGAACCCTCTGAATCGGCTTTTCTGGTGTCTCACTGCCCAGTTTCAGGGTCGTCGTGGGGGCAGCAGGCGGTGGGAGGGGCCGGGGAGGGAGAGGGGCGGCTCGGGTGGGGGGTGCTTGACAGGGACCGGATCCAACCGGGAAATATTGCCAGGAGCATCCTGTTTTGGAGATTCTGTGGATGGTGGTTTCGCTGCCAAGGATTCCAATGTCTTGGGTTTTAGGAGGGCTTTCTAATTATATTTAAATCTGGATTTTGTTTGTGTGAGCGATTTTGTTCTTTGGGGCAAAAAAACACACTGAATTCATCCCTGACAAGTGTTTGTCCAGCCACTGCTTAAAGACCACCAGGGAAGGGGAGCTCACCACCTCCCGAGGCAGAAGATGTACGGGAGGCCTGTAGGAAGTGGGGAGGGAGTTGTGGCGCTGGTCCGGTCGCACTCTGCTGTGCTCCTCAGGGGCCTGCTTCCAGAGCAGGCCCACGTGGTTTTACAGGTTTATTCTCCAGCAGCTCCCAAGCGTGTATTGAAATGGCCATCATGGCCGAGGATACAGCATGAAGCATGCATTTTATGTGGAGTTGCCTCAGGCAGGATCATTTTCAACTGATGGAGTTTGTGCATTTCTCCATCAGGGCTAAACTACATGTTGCATTTTTTGGTAAGTTTGGTTGGGGTTCCTGGGACTCAGCACACTTTCCCTGCAGTCACGCAGCAGCTCTGGGGAAAGGCATTTTTAAAGTCTCCAGGAGCCCAGTTCTGCTCAGAAGTGCAGTGTGGGAAGAGGAGAGGCCTCTTTCTAGCTGTCGAGCCTGCCCGGGGCTCCCGGCATAGACCCTCCCGTGGCCGTGACGACTCAGGGCAGGGGAGGAGGTCCGACGGCTCTGGAAGAGGAGGCCTGTAAAGAAGAGGGGGAGTGTTGGGGCCTCAGATGGGTAGGGGACGGAGTCTGAAGGCACTCCGTAAGTCCCTCTACCTCCGTGCATTGGCTTCTCCCCAGCTTCTCAGCGTCCTTCCTGGACTCCTTTTCTCTCTGGCTGCGTCAGGTAGTTCCGAGCACGTCCTTCCTCCCCGGCCCCTTCGCTTCCTTCCCCTTTATACCCAGCTCCCTCTCCCAGCACCGTCTTCCATCCCCACCTCCCTCTCATTCCTCCCAGCCCTGCCCCCCATGATAAGCCTCGACGCCATTCCCATGGCCTGGGTGTGGTTGGAGCTATGCTGGTGGTGGTCCAGTCGGCCTGGGGCCGTACCGCCGGCGCCGGTGTGCGGGGTCTCGTGTGTTTGGCCGTTCGCCGTCTCCCTGGTGCCGTCGGCCTCTCCTGCTGCTCCTTGCGGCTCTTCGCTTCGCGGTCGGACTGATCCGGATCGTCGTCCCTTGGCTGCACTGATGGGGTCCTGCGTTGCAAGGTCTTCTCGGTCTGTGGGCCTCCTGGGTGAGTTGGTGGCCGTTGGGGTCCCTGGAGGGTCTGGGGTACGTCCCGGGACCCCGGGACCGAGACACTAGCCATGCCATTTTTCTGAGCTGAAACAGTCCCAGCAGGGAGTTATTGACATAACTTTGGATATGCGCAGACTACTCTGTGTGCAGCTCCAAAGTTATGCCGATAACTCCCTCAAGAGGCAGTTTTGGCTGAGGAAAATGGCCTGGAGAGGAACGCAGGAGCCCCTCCGTCTTTGGGAAGTTGCTGTGTGCCTGCGGGGAAAGCGAGTGGAGTCTGGGGAACCTCAGCCCACCTGCCAAAAATATAACTGTGTCAATTTGGCCCTAGATGCTGTCGGCAGGTCACCACGTTAATTAAGCTAGTCTTGTCGGGGCCTCTGGAATCCAAACTATTTTCTCTGTTTTACTTCTTGCCTCTTGGGTGATCAGACTGTGTGCCTTAAATAAACTGTGGGCCTGTCCTTGCCCAATGACGAGGGACGCAGTCTTTCTCAGGCACTACCTATTGTAGACCCAAGTCTGGTAGCAAGTCTTGGAATGGCCCTTTGGGCTGTGGTGCATTCTTGAGCTGCCAACTCTGGGCTGGGAAATTCCTGGATATTTGGGGGGTGGAGCCTGGGGAGGGAGTGGTTTGGGGAGGGGAAGGAACTCAACAGGGCATAATGCCAGAGAGTCCACCCATTTCCTCTAATGGAAATGACAGTTGTAGCCTGGAGATCTATTGTATTTCTGGGAGATCTCCAGGCCCCACTTGGAAGCTGGCAACCCTGCGTGTTGACCAGGCCATGCCACAGGCTAGGTGACGGGGGCTTGTATTGGTTTTCTGCGCTCTGCAACTAATAGGCCCAGATTTGAGGGTTTCCTCCTTGACACCCAGCTATTCTGCCGGGAACTGGTCAGGTTTGGGACAGCACTGCTTTCCAAACAAGCCTCTTCAGGAGAGTCAAGAAAATGTAGTGGGGCGTCCCTTTTTATATGGGTCCTTCTATGTAGATGGGGAAGGCTCTAGGGCAGAGGTGTCAAGCTCATTTGTTATGAGGGCCGGATCTGGCATAAATGTCACGTTGTCAGACCGGGCCATGTGTGCCATAAAATGTAATACAAGGTACTGGAGAGACAAACTTTATGAAGATGATTTCAGATGCCAAATGGCAATAGCAGGCATGATTGGATTAGGTGTGATATGCAGACGCATGGAGATATCAGCATTGGTGTGATATACCGAGGCGTGGAGATATCAGTATTGGTAATGAAACAGGAAACCTAGGTCTCAGTTTGGTACAGGAGGATTCAATCGAGGAAAATGCAAAGAATAAATGGAAATAAGTCTGAAGAAGTGAGCGATGACTCACAAAAGCACATACCCTACCACGCTTTTGTTAGTTTTTAAAGGTGCTACTGGACTCTTTCTACCACTATTAAAACCCACAACATTCAAAAACCAGCGGAAGAACATTTTAACCTTCCAGGACATTCAGTTGCTGATGTAAGAGTGGCAGTTCTCTGACAAAGGAATTTCAAAGGGAGATTAGAAAGAGAAGACTGCTGAATGGCAACTGATCGCGCAGCTCAAGACAACGCAGACTCCCGGGCTGAATTGAGGCCTAAGTTTCTTCTCTCATTACCAATGCCTGCTATTGTAATTTGGTGCCTGAAATCATTTCACTCTCCAAGATACAAGGACAGATGGACTCACATTCTAGCTGCATCTGAAGAAGTGAGCAGTGGTTCATGAAAGCTCCTGCCCTGCCACAAATGTTGTTAGTCATTGAGGTGCTGCTGGACTCTTGCTCCTTTCCACTAATAAGGAATGCAAGCTGTGCAGTTAGGTTCTGCCCCCCTCCATCAGAACTGGAAAGGGGGATCTCTCCAAGTGCCATGGGACTCCCCCCTCAGCACGCTCTGTCTGGGTCTTTCCCTCCCCCTACCTCTCTGAAGAAGAGGTGTGCTTGTCCATAAAAGCTTATACCTGGAATAAAGCATTTTTGGTCTTAAACACAGGAGACACTCACTCTCACCCTCTGTCCCTCTATTTTTGGCATGCTCCCTCTGGCTCTTTCTGTACCTCTCTGTCTCTGTAGATGAAAAAGTGTGCTTCCACACAAAAGCTTATACCTGAAATAAAACTTTGCTGGTCTTCTTAAAAGTCCCACGAGATGCCATTTTCCTCCTCTGTCTGGCTCTTTTCCTCAGCCAATCGAGGGAAGGCTTTCTTTGTCTCCTCTGAAGCAGGAATAGGAGAGACTGGCGAAAAGGAGCTGTGATATTAGAAACAGAAAGCAGGAATCAGCACAGTTGCTCTCAGGCCGGATCGGAGGCTTGCAGGGGCCGAATGCAGCCCACGGGTCGTATGTTTGACCCCCCCTGCTCTAGGGGCAGGTTTTTGTCCTGGATGACCACAGCCCTGTGCAAAGAAGGGGGTTCGCTTGAGCCCTGACATGTCAAATATCAGCTAGGCTGGGGGGGGGAAGGGGGGAAGTGTAATGGTTATCGACAAGGAGACCAAAGAGCAGAAGAGGACGAAGCCCAGGGTGTTGAGCCCACAACGTTACGCGTTGATTCAGTGTCGAATGGTGCCACATTTGTGGCTTTGATTATGCTTATTGATTCTGTGTTCCCTGAGAGAATGCTTCTGTTGAATTTTTAAACAGATGTCTTCTTTTTACTCTGGTGTATTTGCCGGCACCTTGAAGGAATGGGAGAGGTGAGAGCAGCACTAGAAACAAAACAAACAGAAAAATCTAATGACAGGAAAGGTGCCGCTGCCTGGTTTTTTTAAAAAAAAACCAAATCCCAAAGGGCCCCCCCCGTGCATTTCAGGACAAAGCCCCCCCCCTCGGGAGAGAAACGTTCCCCCTCTCAGATGACAACCTTGCCAACTTTGGGGTCCCCCCCCCACTTTTTTTGTCCTGCCCCTGTGTTTAAGATTGCCAGCTCTGGGCTGGGAAATGCCTGGAGATCTGGGGGTGGAGCCTGGGGAAGGCGGGGCTTGTGGAGGGGAGGGGCCTCGGTGGGGCACAGCACTGTGGAGTCCGCCCTCCGTGGCCACGGCCACCTTTCCCCGAGGGAACAGATCTCTGCCACCTCGAGATCAGTTGTGAATGATTACAGGAGGTCTCCAGGTGCTCCCTGGAGGTTGGCAGCCCTGCCTGCCTGCGTTGGACCTTTGCAGCGGCGCCTTCTTCTCCCCTGCTGATCCTGGGCTCTTCTCCTTTTCTTTCTTTGCAGCAGAACCTGCGGATCTCTTGAAGGTGTTAGATTTTCACAATTTACCTGATGGCATATCGAAGACAACAGGTTTTTGCACAAGCAGAAGGTCTTCCAAAGAAGCCGACGTGGCCTATCGAGTGACGAAAGATGCTCAGCTGAGCGCCCCAACCAAGCAGCTCTATCCTGGTAAGGACTGTTGTCTTTGTTTGGGCACTGCTCCTTTCCCCCCTCCACATTCCGAAATCTGAAATCTATTTTGGTAGGGGTGTAATTTCAGATTTCAAGAGCATGTGTTTGTTGTGAGAGGCAGAGATTGGATTTCAGTGGGGGAGCCAAGATTCAGCCAAGTCAAAGTTATATTGTGAAAAAAATGTGCATTTTAAGAGGACTTGCTGTGGTTGCCTTTTGATACCCCATAGAGTGACCACATGGCACTTACCGACTCCGGTCAGGCTGTTGCCCCGCCGCTCCCTTTTTAAAGCAGAGGGCTTTGTGCTGGTCAGGAGCACTCCCAGGGGACTGGTCCTTTAAGGTGTTGGTAGCAGGAAGCAGCCAGGGTGTAGAACCAGGGAACTGGCCAGAGACCGCTGTGGTCCTGGAGCACCACACAAAGGCTAAAATAACTGCCCTCCCCACTACTTTTTGCCAGCTGGCTCAAAAATTTGACTTTGCTGCTAAATACAGTGAACTCCCAGGATTATGGAGGGTGATGTGTATTCTACTAGCTTGGAGTAGCCATCAGCTGTCGAAGGCTGTTCAGTGTAATTAAAAATAATAATTTGGATCTTGTTGCCCAGCAAAAAGAGTCCAGCTCCAAAACCACTTTGATGAACTGGAGGGGCTGCATGTAAAATAATGAGGAAGTTTAATCTCAGCATGGCATCTTTGCCCCCCACCCCAAAGTCTGTGTACTACTCAAGTTGAAAGATGGAAGGTAACATTCATCACTGGGCTGATCCACTGTTTTATTTGATGGCCTGAATTAAGCAAGTTACACTGGAGGGGGATATTCATTCACCAACAAGATAGCAGTTCCCCTCGATCCTGGTTGAGCCCCTGGGGCTTCATTCATTAGCGCATTTCCAACTAGTCTGCCATCCCAGAGTAGTTGCACAGACCTCACTGCACTTAAGTAAAGCCCGCTTCAGCTGGGAGGGCGGGGTAGAAATATGAAGAATAAATAAGTAAATAAATAAATAAGTGAATGCTTTGTTTAGGTAAGAGCCTCAAGCTTCACCTCTAACTCTTGCTTTAGGCAAAACATGACAACTAAGGGAAATGAAGACCCTAGCCTGTCTAGGGGGATTTTGATGTTTTTTTAATCAAAGGAAAACATCCTTGGCTTTTCCTTCTGAGTAGGAAACTCCAAATTCAGCCTGGAATTTTGCTTCAGGTGGAAGTGGGTGGCAACTGGAGAACTGGCTATGAAAATAAACAACACTGAACCAGCAGCCTCCTGGGTTGATGCTTGGAGCTGAAAATGAAACCCTATCTTTTGGCAAGGAGACAGAATTCCAAGGCTAAATGTGTGGGGATGGGTGCACGGATGCTACTCAGTAGCATGGGAAATTAACCGTGGAGCTGGCCAGAGGCAGGCTCATCTTTATTCCCCATGTTCCAGGGCTTGGCCTTTGCATCATGAGCAAGTTCGGGAGGTGGACATGCACTCTGGTCAAGCTCTGAGTCGCAGCATCTCTAAAGGGAGGCTGGAGTTATCCTGCCAAGCACCAGGATGTTTGCTTCCACATTTGGTGGTTGGTCCAGCTCTGCTGCTACTGGGTGTCTTGGCACACAGGTAGGCAGTAGCACAGGGCAAGTGGTTAGCCAACGAGCATGATCTGAGTCTGGTCCAAGGTCACAGTATCAGCATGAAGCAGTTTAATGGGCAATCCAAGAGGCAGAGGCAGAAGCCGTCCAAGAAGTCAGAATCCAGTTCAAGAGTTGTCAGGATAAACTGTAGGGTCAGCCGTAGATCAACATTGCTTCCCCGCTTAACAGCCTCCCTTGGCTGGTTTTTATAGACATGTGCCTAAGGGTCAAACTTGCAGCCAGCTGCTCAGGAGTAATCCTGCAACTACTCAAGCCGCTGGCGTCAGGCCAGGAGGCATACACTTTGTTGTCTCTCCTGCAGTTCTGTTCATAGCCTCTGTCTGCGGCGCTCTAAGGTTGTGGGTGATACTGGAGGGCTGGAGACGATCAGCTGAGCTTTACCTGTTGAATCAGGGCTGGAGACTGTGCTGGCTCTGCACCAGCTGTTGGCCATGAATCCTGACAAACCGGCATGCTGGCTTCTGCTGACTCAGAGCTGGTTATGGGGCTCCTCTTCTCCTGAGGAGTCGTCTTCTCCTGAGCAGTCCTTGCTGAGACCTGACTGACCCACGACACTGGAAAGCGGATTCCCACCTCCCAGCCTCCCTGATTCTCATGTACTTTCTGGCTTTTCCCATGGCCTTCCTGTGACCCCCCCCCAAAAAAACCCCGGGTTTACTATGGTATTTTTGAAAGGTCACAGCAAAGGTGGGGGAAGGGCTGCTGTGTGGATGCAGCAGTCTAGATCACTCCCAGTCCTGCTCACATCAGGGCCAGTCCTGCTGCCACATTCCCCCACTTCCTTCCTGTGTCGCTGGGAAGCTTTGAGGGGATCTTCTTGAGCCACTAATTGACATATTGCTACAGCATTATAATGCTATAGCAAGTCTGTCTACCAGGTCCCCCGAATTTCCGTATTTCATTTTTGTTTTAAAGTTAGTCTCCAGCCTTTTACATTTCAGAGATTTTCCTTTCCTCTTATATCCACAATGAAAGGGGCCAGAGATGTTTTTTAAAAAAAATGAAAGCTGGTTATTGAGAGGATTGTTACGACGTCGGAATGTGGTAACAAACATAATAATTGCTAATTTTAGAAAACTCTGAAAAAGCTCCCTGGTGGTGCAGTGGGAAATGGCTGCTGCAGGGCAGGAAAAATGTGGGGAAAGCTGCCATGTGGAAGGAAGCCCTGCTGCTGATGTATTGAATCCGCAGCTGCAGTGCCAACGCGGGAGAAAACTCGTAACTGTCCTTGCCACGTGGAAGTCACTTACCATTCTCCTAAAGTGTAGTGTTGGGAGTGATACATGCTGAAGAATGTTGAAGGGAGCAGAAAAATGTTTCAGTAAAACCAGTGAAACATCTGGGGGGGGGGGTTTGCACATGTCCCTAAAGCTAGCTTATCTGTTTCTATATTTGTCTATTCCGTGGTTAAGCCCTGGTAGTGTTATTGGCAGTGGGGCTGAGTCCTGGCACAAGGGAAGCCTTGCTTACAAAACCCCTGGAAAGTGACGAGCAGAATTTAGACTTTGGATGTGTCACTTGGATGGAAGCCCAGGGCTTTGTGAAGCCTTCCATCACTTTCTGTTTAATAACACACATTGTCCAAATAACTAGCTGTTCCTTCAACTCCCAAATGAAAGACAATGCAAGTAATTGCCAAGGAGTTTTCTAAGGGAGGCAGAATGGGGATTTGATAATTGAGGGTGTTTGGAAGGGAAGGAGGGGGGCAGCACGTGGCTGCCAAGACGGGGGGCTTTGCTACAGGACCCTCCTGCCCGGCCCGGCCCAAAGGACACTGTCGTTCGGGCTAATTAGAAGGTTCCTGTGTCCCTCAGCAGGTCGTTTTCTGGCCTCTCTGCCTTCCGCTTCCCAGCTCAGCAGAGCGTAAATGCTCTGAAGCTGTTTCTCAGGGACAGGGCTCCAACTCCGAGAGGATGAAGGGGGTCATTTTGTTTCTTTTCCACTTCCTGTGTTGACTTCATCATCATCAATTTTGCTTTGCCTCCATTTTGTTTATTGCAGCTGTCACTGAGTCTTTTCTTTCTTTCGTGTCATCTAGATGCAAATCGCAAAAGAATAACACTCACCGCGATGAGTAAAACCTTAATGTATTCTGCCAAAAGTCGTACATGTATCCAATACATACATTACATTAACAATTCTGATTTCCCAGATTTTCATCATATGTTTGAGGATCTTGCAACTATCTGACTTATTTTCTAACTGAAATCCTCAGCAGTAACAAATTAAACAAGGTGTATATGGGGTATCTTTACAATCCAGTATTCTAATACACTGTGGTTACTCCCTATTAAATTGTACACAATCTTCTTGAGAATGAATTCTCACTAGCAGTAAATTCTGAGAAGTAATACATCAACATGCCTTAGCTGTATAGCGATCCAAATCCATTCATAGAGAATCCAGTGACCAAAAGAATCCAGCCACCTGATAGGTAGCCGCAGATGTTCTCCTGTTTCGGTTTCCTCTTCTCCAAGAACCACTGTGATTTTACGACCAATGTTTTTCAAAGAACTTCAGAGGCAAAACTGTTAGGGAGCTTCCTTCTGAATGGAATGCACCCTTCTCCTGTTGTAGATTCTTAGGTGGGGTTTAGCACCTGGGTCTGGGGGAACATTCTATGCCTGGTTCTCCTTTGGGCACACCAGTCAGTTGGTGAATGAGGGGACGCTTCCAGTGTTCCCTCTAAGCTGAGTTAATGTGAGCCAGCTCACAGTTTTTTAGCCTCCGGCTCACACATTTTTGTCTTGGCTCAGGAAGGAGGGCTCCAGAGCAAACTGATTCATGCAGTTGCCAAATCGCTCGCTCACAACTTTAAGGCCGGTAGCTCACAAAGTAGAATTTTTGCTCACAAGACTCCACAGCTTAGAGGGAACATTGGACGCTTCCCTTTTCTCTTCTGGAAGGGTCTCCTTGGCAAGCAAGGGCAGGCGGGTGGGCACCTGGTGCTTTTGATCTCCTAGGCCTGCAGCCATCAGGGGACAAGCCCTGAAGTGGAGCGAAACCTCTGCTGGCCATCTGCTGTAACTGCAGGGGTTTCCAGGCTTAGACTTGACATGAAGGTTTAAAGCAGAGGTGTCGAACTCATTTGTTACAAGGGCCGGATCTGACATGGCTGTCACTTAGCCGGGCCGGACCATGTGTGCCATAAAATGCAACTTGAGGTACCAGAGATATAAACTTTATAAAGATAATTTCAGATGCTGAATGGCGAAGGGCTTGATTGGATTAGGTATGATATGCAGAGGGGTAGTAGGCATGGAGATATCATCACTGGTAACGAGACAGGAAACCTAAGTCTCAGTTTGGTCCAGGAGGATTCAGTCCAGGAGGATGCAAAGGATAAACAGACATAA